TATGCTAGTGCGGTGCCAGGCAGACTGCAATAATAAATAAGTCCTTTTCTTTAAAAAAAAAATGTATAGACATGTACGTGACATAACCATAACACAAAGTGATTAGTAAGAAGATATATGGTGTTGTGGGAATACAGATGAGGAGCAAATTAGATCTGCCTGAGGGAGGGGGATGAGAGGGCACTGCCCGGAGGGAGTGAGAGGGGGTCAGGGAGGAGAGGTCTGACATAGAAGGAGCAGGCAGGCAGGGGAGAGGCACCAGGAAAGAGAAATCTCCTGTTAGGCAGTGGCAAGGGCCTGGAGGCAAGAAAGCATGGGGCTTGTTACAGAAAGAATTGGTAGTGGTTGCCCAAGAAAGCCAGGGGAAGGAGCTGGGGGAATGCTGAAAATAAGACTAGAAAGTCAAGCTGGGATGGAATCTGAAGAGCCTCTTGCCCATGAAGGGGTTTGGATGCTAAGGGCAATGGAGAGCCATGGAAGTTTGTAAGCTTTGTAGTAATGATTTGCTGAGATGTGTGTGGAGAATGCGAGTTCAAGGGGAAGAACGACTGATTTAGAAGAGCAGACTCACAATAACACAGGCCAGAATAAAGGATGAGTGTTTAGAAAAAGAACAAAGGCTGTGAAGATTGCTGAAGCAGAATCCAGGGGAAGTGGTGGCTGACAGATGGAACCAAAAAGCCAAGGATAACCTTGGCATTTCCATTTTGGGCAGTGGAATAAATGGTGATATTTTAACCAATATTGATAATTTCAGATGATGAATATGTGCATTTTGGTAATAGTATTTTGTTTCTGTTGTTATTATTGACACAATGAGGTTAATTTTCAAAAGTTTGAAAATTCCTGATTTGTAAGTATGCATTTTAACTTACATGGTCTTACTGAGTTTTTTTTTTTGCCAAAATATTTTTAATCAAAATACTTCTAGAAACTGATTGTCCAAATAATCAGACTTTTATGAGTGTCTGCCAGATACCAAGCACATTTGACCAACAACTTCTCAGTCTTTACATGAAACAAAGGCAGATGTCAAGGTTGAGGATCCTCAGTGGTTTTTTGCTCATCTTACGATCTTGAAGGCTACTGCAGTGCATGCCATGAGTCAGGTACCAAAGCGCTGAGTCCTTTCTGTACTTTGGACTGCACAACTGGTGTCTCTCATAACAGCCTGTCAACTACTCACAGATGATTAGTAGTATTTCTCTAGAGCACTTAATTTTATGACTAGAGATCTTTCTTTTCAACTTTACCTAAGAATTTGCTGCCAGTAATTTATTTTTCACATAGTCGTTAGGTTAATCCTGATTCTTTAAACCAGAATATATATATAACAAAAACTGGATGTCAGAGACCCAGAGAAAAATTCTGGCAACAAGAAAAAAGCTTTTCTTTTTGTCCTTTATTGTTTGAGCTGTGAATTATTTACAGATACACGGATTCAAGGTAATTTTTTTCAAACTTGTTATATACTACACTGATTTAGTCAAACAGGACAGCATTTAATGAGAAAGTCCCTTTCTTGACAATATACCACAGGGTTATGAAGTTATCCCAGGCACAGAATTCTAGGATGCTATGTTCAGATGATACAATTTAATCCTAACCTGTATCTTTGGTTGTGTGTTTTCCACGAGTGGAAGGAAGCCAGCACATCAGCTCCTGGCTTGTGCTGGGGGTCTGCTAACATATGTAATGAGAGAAGGTGGACAGGCAAGATCAGAAGCAAGCAAGGATGGCAGTGAGGCCAGCCTGCTCTCCCGCCCCAGGAACTTGGCGAGCCTTGCTTTTCTGACCCCTAGAATTAAGATCACGCTCCATTTCTCTTCAATATAGGGTGGTACTGTTTTAGCCTCTCCGGATATATGTGTACTTGAGGGTGGCAGTGGGATCAGAGTTCTGAGGTATAGGAAAAATAGGGTTCAGGGATATTTCTTGAATTCTTGGGCTGACAACCACTGAAGTTCTGAGAAGAAAGTTAAAATCTTAGACTGTTTTTGAAAATAGTTTTATTGAGAGAGAATTAACATTGATATGCTAATTCATCCACTTACAGTGTACAACTTAATGGTTTTTAGTATATTCACAGATATAGAAAACCCATCACCTTCAATTATAGAACATTTGATTGCTTCAAAAAGAATATCTGAGCTTTTTCCGCCTGCTCCCCGCCCCCCGCCACGGTGCGCTCTGAGCTCCGGGCTCTGGTGTAAGACCGAGGGCCTTACCAAACGCTCCGAGGAGCTGACTGCAGCGAAGAACACCCGGGAAGGAACACACCGGACAAGTTGGAAAGTAAAACAGACCTTAGTCTGGCCAGACGGCACTTCCAAAGCAAAGTAGCTTAGGCGACTAGCCCAGAGTCCGAGGCTCTTTTTATAGGGGGTTGCAGGGGAAGTTAACAGGCGAAATTTACAGAAGAGGAACAAAGGTTAGTGGTTAGCTGACACGTACTGATGGTCAGCAGATGTTTGTAGATTGTTCTATAGACATCAGTTTCGAACAAAGAGTTGAGTAATTTACTTTGGGACCTTATGGCTGATACAGATCTTATCTATTTACTCACATTCACAGTTGGGGCTAGGGGAGTTTTATGATTACAGAGTTATGCAGTCCCACACCGCGCTCCTAAGCTAGCTCAGCCGCGTCCCCCATCAGCCACTCTCATGATTATCTATCGGGACCTCATCAGCCACGATGAGGTGTTCTCCGATATTTACAAGATCCAGGAGATTGCGGGCGGGCTGCGCCTGGAGGTGGAGGGCAAGTTGGTCAGTAGAACAGAGGGTCACGTTGATGACTCGCTCATTGGTGGAAATGCCTCAGCTGAAGGCCTGAGGGCGAAGGTACCGGAAGCGCAGTAGTCACTGGTGTGGATATTGTCGTGAACCCTCACTTGCAGGAAACCAGCTTCACGAAGGAGGCCTACAAGAAGTATATCAAAGATTGTGTGAAATCAATCAGAGGCAAACTCGAAGAACAAAGACCAGAAAGAGTAAAGCCTTTTATGACAGGGGCTGCAGAACAAATCAAGCACAGCCTTGCTAATTTCAAAAACTATCAGTTCTTTATTGGTGCAAACATGAATCCAGATGGTGTGGTTGCTCTCCTGGACTAGCGTGAGGATGGTGTGACCCCATTTACGATTTTCTTTCAGGATAGTTTAGAAATGGAAAAAGGTTAATGGATTTGGGGGTTACCTTGGATCTATCACTTGTCATAACTGGCTGCTGCTTGTTATCTGCACAACACCAGGATTTTAGACAAATGGGACTGATGTCATCTTGAATGCTTTGTATATTTTGACCATGATTTATTTGGAGTGGTGGCATTGTTTTTTAGGGGAAAAAAACATGTCATGTAGGTTGTCTAAAAATAAAGTGCATTTAAACTCATTTGAGAGAATGCCTCTTAGTTTAATACATGCGTAAACTAAATCCATCGTAGTGTTCATGGAGAAGATAGAGGCTGGTCACAGACCACTGCTGGAAAGCATAAGACTGTCTTCAGATAACTTCTGCAGTGAAAACTACTGGGACTGGAAAATAAGACAAGAATCAAAGTTTTAATTCTGAGTTTCAGTGAAGGGGAAAAGACTATGCTCATAGCAGTGCCAACATTTGAAGTGGAGCCTTATATATTTCATCACCTACAGAGGAAGTAGTTAACCCTGGAAGAGATTACCAAAAGGATAAAAAGACTAACTCAGTTGGAAGAAAAAAAAAAAAAAAGAATATCTGAGTAGGGCATGGTGGATCACGTACATGGTCCCAGTACTTGGGGAGGCAGAGGCAGGAGGATAGCAAATACAAGCCCAGCCCAGCAACTATT